AAAAAAAAAAAAAACCATACAGCTAATTATTTTTCATTAATTATTTTTACACAACAAAATAATTTTATTAGATACAAGGGTACTTTTACCCTTAATAAAAGAGGAAAAACCATGGAGCGTCTACTGATTCTACCTTGCTACCACAGTTATTTCTCATTAGGAAATCCGTGATATGATAGAAACTTGGAAAGCAACATTCGGTGGCCATATTTAAGAAAGACATGTCGTGTGGAATTCAAATTCCAATTTCACTGCGATTTTCCTTGTCTCTTAGACACAATTCCCTGCTACCCACGAAATAAAGAAAAAATAGTGCGCCGCGTTTCCTTGGTGATGTGGAGAGCGGAACAGTTTGCATCATCGTTTGCACAAATAAACAAACACCAGATTTTCTTCGGAGATGATTAATGTGAGTTTCATGTTAAAACAATTTTGTCAAACACCAATACTTCTCTTCAGTACCCTATAATAAAAACAGATGATTTATTTGTACATGGTTGTATTGTAAGAAAGTCATTTTCGCATCGCTTTTGTGGTCCATCGATATCTCATCTGAATCCCAACGAAAGGGATGTGTGCCTGCACTACGTTGGTTTTTCCTGGATGGCCCCAGGCCTCCATTATTCCTCTAGCCATACCTATATTATGTGTGTAGCTTCTTGGCTGCTTCTTATGGCCTTATCTCTAAAACTTTGATAGGAAATTTCGTTCTTGGGACAAAACCTTGATAGGACAAACTTCGCTAGGTAGAGAAAAGAAATCCTTGAGACAAGATATATGTAAGATATTTTCTCTCAACTTGCTTGTTCCTTTCCTTTGTTACGTTGGAAGTTACTTGATTAACAATTATAAATTATAAATGCTTAATTTTAATTTAAATATTATTTTAATTTTATATATTTGATAATAAATTATAGTTGAAAAAACACCCCTTATGTTACTTCTATGTCTAAGCACTCGATCTTTGCCTGTTTAGCAGTTGATTATTCTTGTTTTCCTTACTCGATGACATCCAAGTGCCATGGTTTCAATGTTCCATTGACTCGTTTCATTAGTGCATTGTGTAGACTTTTGTGTACGGTATAGCAGTAAAGGAGGACCATTTTGAATTTGAACATTAATCTAAAGGCTCGATAAGGAGGAAAAACATTTTTTTACTCTTTTATCAACGGCAAAATCAAGATTGTTATAACCTAAAATAAGTCACTAACTACTTGTTGCTCCTAACTTCATCATTGTTGCCACTTATTCAAGAAAAAAAATAAATAAATCAAGATACAGATGGATCCATATAATCATTGCGTTCTATGACCACGAAGTAGTCTAACCATTATCTTCTTCGGCCTGGAAGCCTGCCAAAATAGGGTTGGACTTCTACTTCAATGGCCTAGAGACAGGAGGGCCGGCGAATAGCTGGACTTTTACTTACATGAGTTCCCCTGGATTTATTGTTAAATTCGAAGTCTATATTTGAAGTGGAAGCAAAAACATGTAATAATTATAATATTATGTAGCAAATTTGATATATTATTAAAAAAAATATAATATTATAAATAAAGTTTAAATGAAAAATTAGTTATATAATAATATATTATATTTTATATTTATAATATTATATTACATTATAATTATAATATTTTTGAAAAAAAAAAAATTAACCCACCTTGTTGACAGGACGGATGTGCGGCCAGCATTTTGGACGTTGATCATCATTGTTATTGATACCGTACCAACTTTAATGTTTTTGACAATGGTACCATGGCGACATGATCTTAAATTTTTGACAATGGTAGCATGCCAAGATGAATTTCATTTACCAGTGCGCTGTTGTTCTGTCATCACGTACTGCCAACCTGACATATCGTCTACCTGCCAATCCAGCAGGGCAGTTTGGCTGCCTAGACAAGGCAGATCACGGTAATGCCCACCCCCTGTACTTTTATTTTGCACGTGTATTACATAACACCACCGAAAATCCGAAATCAATTTCAAAATGTGCCTCAATTATGTTTTTTTTATTTTTTTAACCGAAGAAAATTGGAACAACTGGGGAAGGAAAAATGGGAATATAAAGAAGTTGAATTTTGAGAATATATATGAACAAAGCACTCATATAGTAAACTATACAAGTTATGGGCTGGGTTGTTCTTCAAGTATGTTTTTCTTAGTTGCTCCTAACAATTAAAATGTTATCATTAATTGAGTTTAACAAAAAAATAAAGTTCCTGCTAAATCATGGAAATTGGAGGAGGCCAAACAGGAATCAGGAAAATGATCAAAAAATCAAAAAAAGGGGTCTTCATTTAGAATTAGAGGCTCCACGCTTGGCAAGCTGTTTGCAATGCCGTTGTCTTCACTTATGTATGGCTAAGTCACTCACTTTCGGCCAAATCGACCCACTTTCGGCCGTCGATCAGATTCCCTTCCCTGATCAGCGCGGTATAGCAACGAACCAGAACCGGTACTGGTTTCATGGATTAAAAAAAAAAAAAAAGGTCAACTTTTGAGTTACTTGCCCTTTTTAATTTTCCCCCCAAGGTTCTAGTTCCTCCATTCAAGACACCAAGCTTTTGTCGTTCTCTTCTTCTTCGGTAATGGGTGTGAAGGAGCAAGGGCGGAGTC